TAATAATATATTAATAATATATTAATAATATATTAATATATATTAATATATATTAATATATATTATATAGTATATATATATATATATATATATAGATTGTATATGTATGTGTATGTGTATATACAGGGCTTCAAAAGTGTATGAGTTATTAACTCGTCGTCATCAGCTGTTAGTTACTCTTTTAATATCAAACTCTTTAGCCATGGAGGCGCTACCTTTGTTCTTAGATAGGCTCGTCTCGCCTCTGCATGCGGTGCTGCTCGCTGTTTCTTTAATACTCTTCTTCGGCGAAATCCTACCGCAGGCTGTCTGCACAGGCAGAAAACAATTGGCTGTAGCCGCCGTAAGCTCCAACACAATCCCACTTAGCCTAGGGTTTAGGGTTTAGGGTTTAGGGTTTAGGGTTTAGGGTTTAGGGCTTTTAGGGCTCTTAGGGTTTACGGTTTAGGGCTTTTAGAGTTTACGGTTTGGGGCTTTGAGAGTTTAGGGTTTAGGGCTTTGAGGGTTAAGGGTTTAGGGTTTAGGGTTTAGGGTTTGTGTATTTCAGGGTTATATAGGGTTATATAGGGTTATATAGGGTTATATAGGGTTACATAGGGTTATTTACTGTTTAGGGTTTAGGGTTTAGGGTTTAGGGTTTAGGGTTTAGGGTTTGTGTGTGTTGTTTGGTGCAGCTGATGACGCCTTTGGTGCGTTTGCTGCTGGGGCTGTTTTCTGTCGTTGCTGTCCCCGTTGCTGCGCTCTTAGACAGATTGCTGCAGCCTTCGCATGCAGCAGCTTTCTATGGACGCAACCGCCTCAGAGCCCTCATTGGTGCGTAGCTAGCTAGCTAGCTAGCTAGCTATAGCTAGCTATGGATAGCTAGCTGTGGATAGCTAGGTATTGATAGCTAGAAATGCTGCTAGCTAGCTAGATGCATAGACAGATAGCTAAGTAGATAGATACGTATGTAGTTAGTTGGCTAGCTGGGTAGTTCGGTGCGTAGCTAGCTGGCTAGCTGACCCACTATACTCGCAGCTAGCTAGCTAGCTAGCTAGCCAACCAACTAGCCAGGCGGCTAGCTAGCTAGCTAGCTAGCTATAATCGATAAGCAATCCAGAGAGTTAGCAAACGAGCCAACCGGCTTCTGCCGCTGTTGCTGCTACTACCTGCTACTCGTACTGCTACTACTACTATTCCTGCTGCTGCTGCTGCTGCTGCTGTTGCTGCTGCTGCTGCAGGGTTGCACCAGAAGGGGCGTCGGCGTTTGCTGCGCGAGGCTTCGAGCGAAGAAAGCGATGCTCTTTCAGAGATCAGCCAAAGCGGTGAAGGGCGCAGCAGCCCCTGGCTAAACAGAGACGAAGTCATGGTCATTCAGGGTTAGCTTCCTGCTGCTGCTGCTGTTGCTGCTGTTGCTGATGCTGTTGTTGCTGCTGCTGATGCTGTTGTTGCTGATGCTGGTACTGCTGCTGATGCTGTTGCTGCTGCTGTTATTGCTGATGCTGTTGCTGCTGCTGTTATTGCTGATGCTGATGCTGTTGCTGCTGTTGTTACTGTTGTTGCTGCTGCTGATGCTGCTGCTGCTGCTGTTTGCAGGGGCTCTGGACATGGCTTCAAAAAGCATAGGCGATTTTCTTGTGCCGTTGGAGGAGGTTTATCAGCTGGTGAGACCCCCTCTAAACCCTAAACCCTAAACCCTAAACCCTAAACCCTAGGTTCCTAGAGTGTGTAAGGCCTGCTGCTGAGATAGACAGAGACTACGCCACGTTCTCAGTCCAGCGAGTAGAGTTTAGGGCTTAGGGTTTAGGGTTTAGGGTTTAGGGTTTAGGGTTTAGGGTTTGCGGTGCTTGCAGGAGATGAATACGAAGTTAACTCCTGAGGTGTTGATGCAAATACTGAGACGAGGGCATTCAAGGATCCCTGTCTACGACGGGTGTGTTATTTAGGGTTTAGGGTTTAGGGTTTAGGGTTTAGGGTTTAGGGTTTAGAGGTTGAATACGTGGGCAGCCCTATTAGCATCGTTGGAGTGTATGGACGGCGCTGATCGATGTTTGACTTTTGCTGCTGCTGCTCTTGGCTTCCCCGCTGCTGCTGTTTCCCCTGCTGCTGCTGCTGCTGCTACTGCTGCTGCTGCTGCTGCTACTGCTGCTGCTGCTGCTACTGCTGCTGCTGCTGCTGCTGCTGCTGCTGCTGCTGCAGGGAGCGGCATAACATTCGGGGCATATTGTTGGTGAAGAGTTTGATTTGTGTCGACCCAGGCGCAGGTATTTATAATCAACTTTCAGGGGATTTGCTGGCTAGCTAGCTAGCTAGCTAGCTAGCTGGTTAGCTAGACAGATAGATGGCTAGCTAGCTAGCTAGCTAGGTAGACAGATAGGTGGCTGGCTAGCTAGCTAGGTAGATAGATTGCTGACTAGCAAGCTGTCTAGGCAGCTAGCAAGATAGATAGATAGGTAGATAGATAGATAGATAGATAGCTAATTAGCTAACGAACTAGCTAGCTAGCTAGCTAGCCAGCTAGCTGTGAGCGTTGAGTGCAGGGCTGACAGTCGCGGACGTGATGACTTCTCATGCATACCGCAGCTACTCGCGGCCTCTCTTCGTCTCTCCCAATATCAATCCCTATACCCTCCTTAATGCCTTTCAAGAGGTGCAAACCCTAAACCCTAAACCCTAAACCCTAAACCCTAAACCCTCAGGTTCTGTAAAGGCTGTTGATGAATTAAGCTGAGTATTTCGCGGATCTGTCTCTAACATCAATTTACTCCTTCGTCTTCCCGGTGCTGCTGCTGCTGCTGCTGCTACTCATGCTCCTACTACTACTACTACTGCTGCTACTACTACTACTACTGCTGCTGCTGCTGCTGCTACTACTACTACTGCTGTTGCTACTACTACTACTACTGCTGCTGCTGCTACTCCTACTCCTACTACTACTACTACTACTGCTACTGCTGCTACTACTACTACTACTACTACTACTACTCCTACTCCTACTCCTACTACTCCTGCTGCTGCTGCTGCTGCTGCTGTTGCTGCTGCTGCTGTTCCTATTGCTGCAGGCTCGTTGTCACTTAGCATTTGTGACGGCTGACTTTATGTCTTTCGGCGAGGCCTGGCGTGTGGGGCGGCCTCCGCCTCCTGAGGCGAAGCTGCTCGGCATTGTTACGCTGGAAGACGTCTTAGAGCAGCTTATTCAGGAAGAAATACTAGACGAATTCGACAAGAAACATGTATCCTTTTTATATAATACTATTGTTTATTTATTTAGCTTTGTTTGTTTAGCTTTGTTTGTTTTTTTATCTTTGTTTGTTTATTTATTTAGCTTTGTTTGTTTAGCTTTGTTTGTTTAGCTTTGTTTGTTTATTTGCTTAGCTTTGTTTATTTATTTAGCTTTGTTTGTTTGTCTATTTATCTTTGTTTATTTGTTTATCTTTGTTTATTTGTTTATCTTTGTTTATTTGTTTATCTTTGTTTATTTGCTTATCTTTGTTTGTTTATTTATCTTTGTTTATTTGTTTGTTTATCTTTGTTTGTTTATCTTTGTTTATTTATTTGTTTATCTTTGTTTGTTTATCTTTGTTTATTTATTTGTTTAGCTTTGTTTGTTTATTTGTTTGTCTTTGTTTATTTATTTATTTGTTTATCTTTGTTTGTCTGGTTATACTGGTGAAGGCTAGATAAAGATAAAGTAAATATAATAAAATTATATATTTATTTATATATTTATTTATTTGTTTATCTTTGTTTTACTAAATGCATGTTTAGACAAAAGAGTATTCATTTTAGTTTCTCTTCTTTGTTGTTTTGTTTGTTGAATTTGTCTCTTATCATCTCTCTCCCTGCTGCTGTTTCTGCTGCTGCTCCTGCTGCTTCTGCTGCTGCTGCTGCTGCAGGACACGAGCCGGTTTGGCGTAAGCCGCCCCACAGTCCCGTCAGTTTCATGCGGCGGTTTGTTTGGAGACAGCGCAGCAGCAAATGCAAGAGGAGTCTTCTTTGTTGCTTCTGCTGTCTCTAGAGACTTCGATTCTGCTGCAGCACAGGTGCCGGCGCTGTCTCCTGCAGCAGCGAAAGAAGCCGGCGAGACTCCTTCTGCTGCAGCTCCAGCTGCTGCTGCAGCAGCA